CGGACATTGCGTTCGCCGTGGGCTACGTCAGTCGCTTCATGGAGGATCCCAGAGAGGATCACTGGGCTGCGGTGAAGCGGCTACTACGCTACGTCAAGGGGACGGTGAATCATGGAATCATCTTCCCAAAGACCAGGGGAAGTAGGCTGCAGCTCATGGTATTCAGCGATGCAAACATGGCGGGGGACATCAACGGACGACGGAGCACCTCTGGCGTACTCGTCTTCCTCAGGTCGGCCCCAATTTCATGGCTGTCGCTAAAACAGAAGGTGGTGGCGCTATCTACGTGTGAGCAGCGTAGTGGCGTGGCGCGCCACAAATGGCGTGCCAAGTTGTGTGGCTACGCCCAGGTCATTGGGCGAGCTAACCGGCGTGGAAGCTCACCCACCAAAGACCGATGGTGGACAACCAGCCCGCCATCGCCCTCGCGAAGAATCCGGTTCGCACGACCGGAGTAAACACATTGACGTGAAGTTCTACTTCCTCAGGGACTGTGTTGATGGATGGCAGATCGTCATCGAGTTTGTCGAAACTGGTCGGCAACTCACGGACGTCCTCACCAAGCCGCTGCCGGACGACTTCAACTCACGGAGTGAAGGAGATAATCGGCATGGAGGGGGTGCAAGGGTTAGCGATAGATTAGGGAAGATTGTTAGCTAATCTCATCGCCACCTTGTGTGAAACACAATGAGAGAAGAAGCGGCGTCGACTTTGCCCCCTCGCATGTCTGATGGCAGCTGCAGTGCGGTAGCGCGCCGCATGGCTCACTGCAAAGACCTTTGTAGGCATATCACGATGGCGGCGCAGAGTCGTCAGCCTATATGCTTATCTAGTTATTTATTCTGACATGTATGTGCGCGCTGTACTTTAGTTAGATAGATAGAGTTGTATAAATAGGGCACCAAGGCAACTCAGTAAAGAGAGCTCAGATTTGCCATCACACAGACAGGGTCTCAGCTAACGTTGTTATCTTGTATTGTGCGTACTTGCTCTGTTCTTCCTTCTTCTTCTAGCTCGATCCGTAGTGTGTGGGTACGGACACAACCGGTATAGTGGTCTGGAGACTAGTGGTCTGGTCTGGGAGACTAGTGGTCTGGTCTGGAAGACTAGTGGTCTGAGACTAGTGGTCTGAAGACTAGTTCACTATCGTCAGCCGGTGATCCCGTGGACCAACACTCACATCTCTGGTGGAGCCTTGTCTGATTGTTTTTGTATCACATGGAGAAGATTGAAGCTATTCTTTTCAGGAAAATAGACATACAGGTTGCCCTGTTCGCTTGAACTTATCAGTCATGATACAGTGTTTTTCTCCCACACCAAAATAGTGTTAGTCGGCTTATCACCAAAAAAAAAACCATCAGCCGAACAGCCCAACCTTAGGACCTGTACCCAGATTCCAGAAGCATCTGTCACATTTTTGTAAATTATAGACGCTGGAGAATATTGTTATGTGCTCTTGAGTCTTGAAAACGAAATGTCTTATTTTCTGTCATCCAATGGCACACCTTGAACGCCTGCATGGCTGGATGCTTCATGCTTGGATAGTTGGATGTGCTGTACATGCACCGTTCTTTTCTGTACAGTGGGGATCAATAAACTGCGCACCATTCTGAACATTTCATGGGAATTACTGCATGTACTTTCGGTGCTGTGCACAAGTGATGCATTAATGGGCATCGCCATTCTGGTGATACCATAATAGGGGCGTGTTTAGATTGAAACTTTTTTCAACCTGATAAATAATATTATTTTCGTCTTATTTGGCAAATATTGTCCAATCGTGGACTAACTAGGCTCAAAAGATTCATCTCGTGATTTCTAATTAAACTGTGTAATTAGTTATTTTTTTACCTATATTTAATACTCCATGCAAGCGGCTAAAAATTGATGTGATGAAGAGAGAGTGAAAAAACTTGGAACTTTGATGGGATCTAAACAAGGCCTAGCATGGGTTTGTGCTGCCCTGAAGCATGCAACTGAAATTTCCTTGTGCTCGTTGAAACAGAATGCTAAGCTTATGGCACAGTTGTGGTATTTGTATGGCGTAGTGTTTATTTTCGTTAATTTTAGTAGACGAGGAGAGGTAGAGGAAGACCAAAATTGATATGTGGATGCAATAAAAAGATATTTAAAAGCTTGGGATATATCTAGAGATCTATGTTTGAATAGGAGTGTTTGGAAATCAACTATTTAAGTGCCTGAAACATAACTTGGGGCTCTTGATGGGTTTCAACTCTATCCTATCCCAACTTGCTTGGGACTGAAAGGCTATGTTGTTGTTATTGTAATTTTAGTAGAAGGTACTACTGTTTTTCTTTTGTGACAAAAAATCTCTTAGAGTTCATTTGAAGCTTGCAGGAGCAAGACCTCTAGGAAAATTGCTGCTAAATTTCCCTTCACTTTGTGGTCCATACTATGCGACTCTCAGGTAGGATTTTACACCCATGCATTCCGCCAGTGGGTGGACTGGCTTTGCGACTCCCGGATCAAAGCTGACACAGCCTTTTGAGCCGCTGAGCCGCCAACGCCCCTAAAGTTGCAGTGCTGGTACCACTCGAGCTTTGCCAATTGGCACCGCCACCAGCTGCTGTTCCCGAGATAATAATGTCTCTACAAATTTGCCTCTTCCCAATCTAGCATCAGTTAGCAATCTGCTGACAGTGTGCTGGTAACCCGGAATTCAGAAATGCTGTAACTGTCAATTCGAATTTTGGATGGATCAATTCAAACCTCCCATGCAGGATCCCAGCCCAGACCTTGGTTCGCAAAAATGTTGGGAAAGGACAAATTATTTAGGACTGTGAAAACAATCCGAGCACGGATCGGATGGATCCGATATGCTAATCCAATCCGTACATTGTACCAGCCTCTCACGGTTGTAGGGTGGATAACAGAAACCATAACTCCCCAGCTCGGACCACAGGGACAGTAGTGGTACTGGCAAAGCAAGCGCATCCCAATCAGTCCCCAACCATGCCTGGCAACCGTAATCAAGTCTTGCAAGTACTAAGGTGGTGTTTTGGATCCGGTGACTAAAATTTAGGAGGTGTGTCGGGAGGATGTTGCATGGGGTATTCAGATACTAATAAAAAACAAATTACATAATCCGTCAGTACTCCACGAGATAAATTTTTTAAGCCTAATTAATCCGTCATTAGCACATGTTACTGTAGCACCACATTGTCAAATCATGAATTAATTAGGCTTAAAAGATTCATCTCGCAAATTAGTCACAAATTATGCAATTAGTTTCGTAATTAGTTTATATTTAATACTCTATGCATATATCCAAACATTTGATGGGACAGCGACTAAAATTTAGAATGGACAAACAAACACCACCTAACTCAAGGCGCTGTCATTTGTCATTTAATGATTAGCAAAAGTCTTCATCCCTAAAGGCAAACAGCATCCACGCATTATGGTCTCTCTGGTGCTAAGTGGTAGTATCATAGAGTGATGTGGCAATAGTACATAGCTGATCATGCAGTGACCTGTATTTCTTAGCACTTCCACAAATTCGACTTGATATGTGAGCTAATATGTATTGTTGGAATCAACAATTTTGCAGAACAGTAAAATGCAATACAACGAAGAGCACTTGCAATCTGAGAAAGCGGGATGGAGCCCATTTATGAAAACGAATTTGCATGTTAGCACAGCAAATTCTTGCAGAGAGAGACGGGCTAGTGGAAAGTCAGAGACAGTAGTATGTCATTAGTGTGCAGCAACAAATTGCTGTTCTCACCAACTGACCAACCTAGAAAAAGGACCAGGAACAGTACCGCACTAAATTTACTTGCTCCATGGTCAGATGAGCAGTACACATGCATGCCGCCCTCTGAAAAACGATTGAGAGAGTAGCACTCAACAGCTCAAGTCAGCAACTCAGCATGCATAGCAGGTTGATTCATGACTCCTTTCAATTTGGAAAGCTTTTGTTATTCTTGGATCTTTTTTTTATCCTAATGTCTTGCTATCTTCAGTATCAGCTGTACTTTCTGAGCAACAAAATGACCAACAAGTGGGAAATCCTTCAGAGAAGGTAAATTAATTGACCTACCAACTAAACCAGTGCTTTAAGGTAAGCAGAAAATGATATAGGGCATGTTTGGCAGGGCTCTGACTCCTCTGAAAATAGCTCCGGCTCTGGCTCCTCTGAAGAAACAGCTCCTCTGGAGGAGCTGAAGCCGTTCTGAAAAATGTTTAGCAAAACGGCTCCTTCGCACTAGACGACGTGAACCCATAGCAAGGAGCCGTGCGAAGCTCGTTTTTGAGGCTTCTCCTGCGCAGGCAAAAAATGGCTCCGGCTCTTGACCGATTCCCCATGCGGAGCCCTTTCCAAAACAGGCGTTTGGCACAGCTCCTGCAGGAGCCGGAGCTGAAGCCCCTGCAGAGCCCGGCCAAAGAGGCTCATAGTTTCCTTTTGAGATGAGTGGGTTAGCTTCAACAACTACTACCCTGATATTACTATTATTATACTTCCTAAATTAGTGGCTAATGCTATACCTTTATGTAACACAGTTACATTGTATCTTAGCTTTTCCAGATGTGCTTTTTGCATAGTCCTAGGCTGACGAAAAACAAATGACTAAGGTACTGACAATATTCATTTCCTCAACGCTCCATATGCTAGAGGTTAAACCTAGGACCAGCTCATTGACCGACTAGATTACCATGTCACAAAGTTTTTTTTTTCCTAATCACTGAAAATATCTTCAATCGTACACATTTGTTGCAAGTTTACTAACAAACCTGTTTTCAGGTTGCTTCACACAAGGATTCAACAAGATTAATCATGTACAGCCGGAGTTAGAATGAGGGTCTTTCGAGTTGACAAAGCTCTAACAATAGATGGTGATCTCATGTGCAAAATGCACCAAAAACAACGTGGAAAAAAGAAAAGAGAAACAAGCAAAACCAAATTACAAGTACCCTTTCCTATTTCATATCAATTGTACACTATGGAACAAAGCAGAAACCTGACCTTGGCTTTGACTCTACTGAAGTTGCCACTCCACACAATCATCAAAGTCGAGACTGCTAGAGCAGTCAAGCAAAGCATTCTGCTGCTGCTCGTACCTGCAGATGTAATTTAGGCCGACAAGCAATTCGCAGATCACTGCCTCTGTCTTCTCCCGATCAGCGAAATACAGCGTCTGCAACAGCAGCACATTCCCCTTCAACACGATCTGCTGCTGCTCAAAGTTCCTCTCGGTCTGCCACCGGATCATGTTGTGGGCCATCGGAGCGAGCCATGCCAGTGTCTTCTCAAGCATCTCCTGCCAATCGTGCGCGAGGAACGCGTCGTAGATCGCCATGCTCTTCACATACGTTTTCAGATTTTTCCTCAACGCCACCTTCAAACTCGATGGCAACATCTGGTACAGGTCGTCCCGTGCCTCCTCACCAACAAGATGTGGGTACCGGAGCAGCTTCTCGATGATGATGACAATGTTTGCATAATGTAGCGCAAGAGCGGAGCCGCCAATTGTGGATGGCGGCGCAAGTGATGTCACCGTGCTCTTCGGACCAAACCGCGCCTTTCTGCCAATCCTGCCACTCTTGGATGATGGCGTTGTGGATACCCCCTGCTCGCTGCTGAATGGCACAAGCATCCCTGATCTGATTGTGCTAATGCAGCTGGAATCTTCCAAGAACTCATCCTCGAACCCATCCTTCCATGACACTGAGCTACTCAAGCTCAAGCACTCCATGAACTTCTTCCCCGGGTTTGCTCCACAACTTGACCGAAAACTCGCCGGCCGCGACATATCTGGTTCGACTCTGCAAATCGGCCCTGACTTGCCATCACTGAGATTGCTTTGGACGGGAACTGGACCGGAGAGCTGCCGGCTTTGGTCCCATTGCCCTGACTCCCGGTTCATGGCCAGCAAGTCGAGCCCCAGCATGGGGTCGCCGAACACATGGCGGATGCGGTCGTAGATGGCGCAGACGGCGCGCGCGAGCAGGAGCACGGCCTTATCGTAGGTCCAGTTCCAGAGCGACGAGTCCCTGAGCCGGCGCACGTCGTGGCGGCGCCACCGCGTGCGCTGCTCGAGCGCGCGGCGGGCCTCGTCGGTGGGCAGCTTCCGCGCCGACTGCTCGAGCTCGGCGAGCGCCTCGAGCTCGGCGTAGAGCGCGGCGGTGGCGGCGGCGAGGCGGTCGAGCCTGCGCACGAGCGACGCGGCGTCGGAGTGGGAGGCGACAGCGAACGCGCCCGCGTCGGAGCAGCGGCCGGCGAGGAGGTCGGCGTAGACGTGGTAGAAGCCCATGAGCGCCGGGGCCGTGCACCGGCGGCCCAGGCGCGAGGCCACGGCCGCGACGCGGTTGAGCGCGTCGAGCTTCTCGGCGAGCGCGAGCGCGAGGAGGCGCGCGTCGTCGCCGGGCACGAGCGCGCGCACGGCGTGGGAGCCGAGGCAGAGCGGGCCCAGCAGGCGCGCCGCCTCCGCGTCGGAGAGCGAGCGGTAGAGGTTCGCCGCGCGCGACATGGCGTTGGCCACCTCGAAGGACAAGATGCCCACCCTGCCGTCGCCCGCGGCCGCCGCCTCGGCGCCGCCCTTGGCGCTCGCCGCCGACCGCACCTTCTTGGAGGAGGAGGAGGAGGACGACGACGACGTCGTCGCCATGGAGAGCACCTTGTGCACCAGCGGCTCCGCCACCATGCCTCCGGCCTCGTCGTCAACAGGCGCTCAGCTCAGAAAACTAGAAAGGCGTAGTAAATAAATCTTTTTGCTTTTGCAGCGAAAACGAATTCGGCGACCAGCCAAGAAGGGGACTTGAATTGGAACGCTTCGATTTCGTGCCTGACTGGCTGGCTGCCCTCGGTCAGCAGCAGCAAGCGCCAAGCGGGAGGGAATTAATGGCGAGCCAAAGAGCACGCAGAGATGTCAACACTCCAAGCGAAGGCAAGGCTGGTACTGGTGGAATGGAAAACCTCAAAAAGAGAGCAGCATTTCTTGGGGGGAGTGGCACGCCAAGAAACCCAAGGTGGAGACTGGAGTGGAGAGGGAGGAAGAAGAAGGAAGCAAAGGGGACGAAGCCAGCAGTAGCTACGAGGTGTGAGATTTGGATGTGGGAGGCGACGCCATTGATGCGGCCAACTCCTCGCTGTCGCTGGTGGGCATTAAATCGCCATAAATTGGAGCGGGAGCAAGGCAACAAAAGCAAGCAGCCGCCGCGGGAGGGCGCCTCTGCCTCACTCCACTCACTCACCTCGCCAGCCAGGGAGAGGGAGGCCGGAGTAGCGAGCGAGCCATGATGGACTGACTGGTGCAGTGGTTGGCTCTGCTTCTGCACGGTTGCACCCAAACCCGGGGCAGGTGGCATTTGGGCCTCTTCCATTATGGGAAGAAATTGTGTTCCGAGGATTCCTTCTCCCATCTCTCTCAAAGTCTCTATCCTTTTCAGGATTAGAAACAACAAAGTCATGTAATGCAGCACCGAAATAGAAGTAATGTAGTCTGAAGCGAGGAGGGAACAGCTAGTTCAGGAAAAATAGACAACACAAAAAAGGTTTTTTATTTCTTTTGAGAATTTTATGTAGGATGACTGATCACTGCAGCCTTAGGACCTGTACCCAGATCCCAGAAGCATCTGTCACATTTTGTAAATTATATAGGCGGGAGAATAATTGTCTGTATAGAATTCCTAGTTCATATTGTTATGTGCTCTTGAAAAGGAAATATCTGATTTTCTGTCATCCAATGGCGCACCTTGAACAGGATGTGCTGTACATGCAGTCATGCACCGTTCCTGTTCTGTTCTATACAGCGGGGATCACAACTCTGAACATTTCATGGGAATTACTGCATGTACTTTCGGTGCTGTGCTGTGCACAAGTGATGCATTAGAACGTGAATGGACATCGCCAATCTGGTGATTAGCATGGGTTTGTGCTGCCCTTGTTATAGTCCCTTTGCGGCAACCTCCTTGCTAGACGGCCTCCTGATTCCTGAAGCATTAACTGAAATATGTGCAGTGAAAAAAAAAAAACCCAGTGAAGCTGAACGGTACCGAACAGGCGCTAAAGAATTCAGTATCTGTTTTGAGTGGTTGTAACGCTGAATGTGTGCAGTGTGGTCCATTCAACGGCAGCATTTCGAAGCACCAACGTGCCACAAATCACTCAGGTCAACGCTACAGAAAATATGGAGAATGCAACTGACAACGGAGCAGGCAAACCGCCCAAAACAACACAATAAAATACAGAAAATATGGAGAACGCAGCTGCCACCGGAGCATGCAAACTGCCCAAAACTGCACTGCTGTTCGCTTGATCGTTTCCGTGGCTTATAAACTGGCTGATTCTGTTTTGTTGTGAGAGAAAACACTGTATCAATGTATCATGGCTGATAAGCATGGCTGATACGATCGTGCGAACAGGGAGCACTTCACTGTACATGATCTTAATAAATGAATTTGATTCCAGGTCAAATTACAGCTTACAACATTAACGAAAGGCGTAACTAAGCAGGGTTACAGATGCTGCTGGACTACAAAGAGAAGACCAATAGCATATCAAGAAATTACCAAAGCATGGCAAGCTAGAACAGCCAATGCTTCTTTTTAGTTTTCCGTGTACAGATGCTGCTGGACTACAAAGAGAAGACCAATAGCATATCAAGAAATCACCGAAGCCTGGCGAGCTAGAACAGCCAATGCTTCTTTTTAGTTTTCCGTGTCGGAAGATCTGAAAGGATAGAGCGTGCGGTCAGATGAGCTAGAATGCCATGGAATTTTTTGGAATAAGCTAATCAAATATCAGCAAGCAACAAGTGAATAAACCCCTCACCTTCAACTGCATACAATGAATTGTAGTGTACTTCACACCAGAAACTTAGCCAAAGCTCTGCAAAAAGGTACAAGTGAAAAATGAGACACCAAATCTCGCATTATGATTTACTAACCTTGTATATGTGCATGTGGATTCCAGAAACTTAAGAAAACTCTAATAATAATGAAGGAAAATCACAATACCAAAGCGGTCAGAGTGATGATACATAAACAAAAGTTCATGGTTCTTGGGGGGCAAAAGGTCATGGTTTTTTTTTTTTTGAACGTAATGGCAGGAGCTCTGCCGTTTAATTAAGAAGAATAGAACTGACCTAGTTTATAAGAAAAAAACAGGCCTGAAAACCTTACAGACGGAAAGGTCATGGTACTAGAAAAGAGGATACAATAGTTGATACATGATATAGACAGAGAACTGGAGAAGACAGGACAGGATCCAGTTCTAACCTCTTGTTGGAGTGGCATCTCTGGGGACTATCTCAACTAGGCATGTGTCTCTAAACGACGTCAACAGACATATTTTAGCAGCAAACTGGTTTAACAGATAAACATGGTTGCTGTTAGTAAATGCATATCATCCTACTGATAATATAACTACTTAGTATTCTATTGAAACAGTTTGAAAGAAATATTCAAAGAACTATGATACAAGACAAGTATACAATTTCTCCCTCCAGCCACAACTCACAACTAAGTGACATTTTGGATATCAAATATATCTGTGATCACAAAATTCTATTGTAATATATCTACAAAGTGTAGCAAAAATATAATTTTATGATACTGCCTTTAGTGACAAATTTTCAATCTCAACATGTAATAAACAGAAATTGGTGGACCAAATATAGATAGTTTGATTAGATGCAACCAAAAACACTACTGATTTGTGAATGGACAGTATAATATTAAAAATATCTGGGAAGTTATATTAAGTACAGCTAGAACTAGAGGTCACAAGATAAATAATGCCAAAACCTGTAGATAAAATGTTTTTTTACTCATAGCTTGAAAGTGCTATGTACCCTGTCTGCAGCTGCCTGTAAGGTCACATGATCTCCCCATTCCCCAGATCTACAGTGTAATATAAAAGAAAGGCACACATCAGGAAATCAAAAAAAAAAGTCACATGACAGAATTAGGCATCTTGAATTTAATACAGACTAAAACCTTTTCATTTTCTTCAAGTAAACCTTATATTCCATTGGCACATAGCCTTCATAGTGTTTCCTGAATTCCTTCAGCTAAACAGAGAGATAATACTTCAGAAAAGTCACATATCCAGGAAAACTCTAATTAGGATAGCAAGATGTTTTTCCTATGGAATAAACAAATTTTTTAGTTACGAGATCTATCAGAGAAAGAGAGAGGGAAAGGTGGATATACCTGCTTCACTACCGCCTTCCTCACATGTTTGTGGTAGTCAGGATTGCGGAATATCTGGTCTGCCAGAGCTCGGAACTACAACAAGAACAAAGCACAACATGGAGAAAATGTAAAAGACAAAACAAAACCACCTAGTCAATGAACTGAAATATCATAATCAGATTTGCTCATATCAAGAAGAAGATATAGTAAATACAAAATAGCTAAATAGAAGATAGATTGATGCAATAGTACCCCCCCCCCCGCTGACCCATTAAGTCTATCGGTACAAATGGACAACGAACATAACATAAATCAATTAATCTACAGAGAACTAGATTATTGATTTAGAGTAATAATAATATATCTAGATGAATTTACTTCATACAAACGAAAAAGCAATTCTGTACATGATACAAAAGGCTAACCTGGCAATTCCCATCTCCTTCTATTTGGTATTCAGCTAAGCCATAAGTGCCCAGTCTGCCACCAAAAAGTTCTGAGGTAAATGAACCTAACAGGAAAACAGAGGATAAAAGCAAAAGCACCATAAAAACTTTACCTTTCTAATAATGATTCATGATCAATTGTCGCATTATTAAAATCTGGAATTTTCCCATTAACACGCGGAGTGTGCTGCCATTAAGAACATCAGCAACTTGGTACAAGGGCTAGAGTTAAGCTTGCAGCATAGTAATTTGATTTAACAGTGGATGCTGATTATAACATTTTATATCTAACTGTCTAAGTATAGAAAAACTCTAATATAAATATGCAGAAACATATTTATTATTGTTGCCAATTATCTTTATTGAACACTACATGGACATGTTCTATCTGAAGCCAAACAGCTCAATACTAATTTTCTCCAATCAGGCAATATGGTACATCCAGAAGGTAAACTTCAAGGAAGTAGAGGTGCCAGCATTATCAGAGGAACATATTGCACAACAGCGAGATTAGTACCGGGATCGAATCTAAGTGTGAAAGGCGCCTTCCAAGATTCTTTGCACTGTTTGTTGTGTTTGTTGCTTCAGTTATAAGGGTACCAATGGTCAGTTCCTCCTCACTCTCCTGAGTGCTGCTGCTAATACTTGAGGAAGAGCTCTTGCTAACACGTTCCTGCTGTTCAGTCATGATACCTCACAAGGAACATTGGTGGTTGAATGGGTTGACTGTAGGCTGCAGATTGAGAAAGAAAAAACAGTTTGGTGATGCATAACAATATGGATGACAAGGTAATCATCATCTAAATGAAACTGGTGGGTAGCAACTAGGTAGCTCATGTTCAAGATCTAGCATCAAATGGCTTCTACACTAGTAGCATCCATCCATCCATCCAATCTAACCGCTACGCTATTCTACTGCTTGTTACTGTCGAATTATTACTGCAGCTCGTGAAAAAAAAGTTTACCTCTATGCTCTATCCATACTGTTTCAGAGTAAAAATATGAAGATTGGCCTCGCAGCTTATGGATTCCTACTGGCTACTGCCTCATTTCATGGAGCACATAGATCCCAGGTAACCACCTGGAGTCCTTTTCACAAGAAAGAATTACACGCGAGCTACTAGTCAGAAAAGACGCGTCATTCCACATCACAATCTAGAAACTTTTTTCAGATCCCAAGCGTATAATTTCTAAACAGCGGACTTTTCTCCAAAGAAACTACAGTCCAAGTAACGAACGCGTGGCGCGGCGGCAAGTCGAGTCACCGAGACGCGCGTGCACGCAACCGCGCTCGGTTCCGCCCGCGCTGGCCGACGGCACCACCAGGGCGCCGCCGCCGGCCCCGTGGCAGTGCCCACCACCGGTTATCCGCGAGCTGAGCCTCTCCACGGAGACGGAGCTAAACGAACCACGAGAAGCATTCACCAGAGCAAGGGGGAGCACAAAGGAATGAGAGAGACGCATCCGAGACGCAACAGGAAACAGAGCAGAGCTTTGCGGCGCCGGGACCGGGACCGGTGGATCCAAGGACCCGGGAGAGGGCAGCGGGGATGCTCCGGCTCCGGAAGAGCCTAGCGAACTGGCGCTGCCGCGCGGAGGAGAAGAGACTCACCGGCTGCTCGGATCGGAGGCGGTGGCGCGCGCGTGGGGTCAGGGGCAAGGGAGGGAGCCGCTCCAACTGAGAACCAACTTCGCTTCTCTACTCTTTCTTTCGCACCAAAAACTGCTGAAGAAGGGAAGTCTCCTGTCTCCGTGTGCGTGTGGAGATTAACCGAAATGACCCCTGCGATAATTCTCTTGTAGAAAGTGGGGCCCTCAGCACAGGAACTCAAAAAACACAATGCTATTTTGCTTCTTCGGTTCTTCCGGTACCCTTTTGCTTTCTGGCATGTGTGCCGAACTGCTGATGGGATTCTTCAACCTTTCAGTGATCCAACTCCCACGTAATGAGTATATAAAAAAAAAAACTCCCACGTAATGAGAGCAACAGCTTTGGTTATTTGGTATTTCTTTCTTTCCTTTCACTCAACTGGGGCACAAACAAAAGCTACGTGAATATTTTGTGTTTCGAAATAGTCGGCACGAAACCGCCGTTCAGAAGCTACTCCTACTAGTTTGTTGATTGAGGATGCATAAGATGCACACAACTTAAAATATGGTTTTGTACGGAGAAATAAAGCCCTTACCACAAAGTTAGACAAAACATAATTGAAAAGGCTATAACAACAAGCTTAAACTACGACAACTCGTCTACTTTTTTTTTGGGTCCAAAATCAGGGAAAGTAGTCACAACAATAATTATGACTATATCGACATTATAGTACGTATCAAACAAACATGTGTCGTACACTGAGATCTCGAAGTCTGGTCGATTATTCTGCTCTGCAAAATCAACGATCAGTCTACTGGAAAAAAAAATATAAGAGGGTACAATGCAAGTTAGTAACTGTGGATATCTGATGTTTTCCTTTTCAAACATAGACAAACATATATTATAGGATGCTTTCATTTAACCCAATTTGCTGATGTGAAAGCCAAGGTTGCTTTCCAGCGGCATAGAGTACACCGTTCAAGTCCCCAAAATTACAGAAGTTGCATTCAGGAGCAGAACAACGAATTCCAATCTTCAGAGCTGTATTCACTTGGTTTTCCAGTACACATCTTCTGTCAGCAATCAGTATACTACAATATGTATTTGTGCAATCGGGATTGCCGAAGGAACGTTGACAAGTACTATGTTTTACACGTATCAAGCAAAGGGACTAAGCATAAAGCATGACTAAATTCTTGCACAGAAAGACTTTTTATACACAAGAGTATGGAGCCAAAATATTTCAATAAGGGGGGTTGATCAGTCTTCTGTCCTCACACAGCAGAACAATTATGAATGCTGCCTTATGTTGATTAGCTCGATGTCGAAGATAAGAGTACCGAGAGTGGAACCCTCGCCATTCGCGAGTCGTGTTGGGTTGAATATAGTAGTAAATAGCCTCTGTCGATCAAAGAACTGCATGAAAACAACAGGTGAACTTAGTACTCTATTATGTCCAGCCAGCAGTACTGAATTACATCCTTCAACTACAGATGGTGGAATATACCAAGCAGTACTCTATTCTGGATACTTTCTTAATCCAAGCACACCTATGTATCTCAAGGGAATATACCAACCACGAAGCCATTTTTAAATAGATTGTGCATGCAACAGAGAGCAATGATTAGGAGTTGGCCAGACTGGAGATACTTTAGTCGATCACCACCTACATGATATAACAATATATAATACTGAGACCACGGGAATTACATTGGGAGGAATTGGTTCTTGTGATGTGTTTTGGTATCCCTGTGATGGTGGAATGATCACCCGGCGAAGACCACCGACTCTCATGGACTTCACTGCTGCTTCCATACCAGGTATAACCTGAAAGATCCATCTTATATTATGGCTTGAGTATCAGCCCCATAATGATTCCACAAACGAACATCCCATAAAAATTATTTTGTTGGATGCTAAGACAATGGGTATGAATAATATTCAGGTTACTCAAAATGCATAAGAAGTTAAGAACAGATGGTTTATACTCAGATACATAGCAGCTGTGATGCTAATATGAAAATAGCCTGCAATAACTATACTTCACAACAGAACAACTGTAACTCCATGTATAAAAAATCAACTAAGATTCTCAAGCATGTTTGAAGAACATAGGAATACCAATGCTATGCTGTAATATCAAACTTTCACCAATGGAACTTCAGAGTGGAAGAATACAAAGTTCAGTTAAGATCTTTATCCAAAACTGCAGCAGTATCAATACCATAGATACAATTCGGTTCTTCTGCACGACTTAATGAAATCTGTATCTCACTTTGCCAGACCCAAGGGTGAAGACAAACGGCATGGGATCACCAGTCTCGTCCTTATGGTCATAGGTGGAATCAAAGCGCCATCCTTGCTTCGCTGCTAATCTCCCATAATAATGAATTGCAACCTACGTAGTTCATACAAGTGAGAAAAAAAATAAGAGCCTTTCATACACATTTCCCAGAAACAATACAAGCCACACAATGCCTGCATGAGCAACCCATATAATCCGTGCACTCTCAGCTTCTTAATTGTAAGAAGAAATCACGGTGAACTTATGCGGATCATCAGCTCAGCATCGACTGATAAGCTAGAGCAATTTCAAGGTGTGAACTTGGTTAATTATAGACCAAGCAAGAATTGTGCTAAAAAACGCAATCAGTGTAGAACGGCGCGGCTTTTACCTGGTCGTCGACGGCCGGGATCTCTCCTGAACCCTCCCGGAGGTCCAGGGCCTTCACGCCGCCGGAGCCGGGGATCTCGGCGAATCTGGGGGCCGCAGCTAAGACGGCGGTCGTGCGGAGGGTGGAGGCGGTGGCGACCGCGACGAGGAGCTGCCTTCTAGTGAGGGTGGGAGGTGGTGGTGTAGCTACAGTTACATCTTTGGCTTTCCGAGGCGGCGGCACGGCGCCGGCGACCGCCGCGACGGCAGTGGTGACCATTGGTGGCTGTTAACGGTGTGCAATTCGCCTCTCTTCTTTTTTCATTTTTATTATTCTTTTATTAATTAATTATTTAGCTTGATTTTCTTTTTCTCCTTTTTTATTCCATTACATTTCTATTTTGTAATTTTAGTTCTATGAAAATGTTTTATATTAGATACACTTCGAAGACCAAATACTGAAATTTTATTTAAATAATAAACACACATAAGATATACTCCCTCCGTCCAAAAAAGAGTGACGTTTTTTACTTTCAGACATCATATTTGACCGTCCGTCTTATTCAAAAATTTTATGTAAATTATAAAATAAATAAATTATTATTAAAGTATCTCTAATTATAAAATAAGTCATAACAAAATAGCTCATATTTATATAAATTTTTTTGAATAAGACGGATGGTCAAACAAGATTTCTGAAAATAAAAAAACGACACTCTTTTTGGGACGGAGGGAGTATTATAGTATCTCAAACATGAAAAAAATATATGTACATAAAATAAACCTAAATAAATAGATGTTTCTTTAAAAAAGTAGACTTAGAGAAGAAAATTACACCGCATATGAGGTGATCCTTAATGTTTGACATCCACGCTAGATTTCATAAATAATTTCATTAATATTTTGTAAAACTACTCAACTTTTAATATGTGTGTGTTGAAATTGAATAGATACGATTAACCTCAAATCCGTGTTACTAAGCCGATTAGTTGTATACATGAGTTGTTTGCCTTCTTAACTTATTATATACCATTTTTGGTGCTTTTGAGATAATCATGGTGATAAACACACGGGATGGTATTAGTTATCATGTTTCACAATCTTGATGATTGAGTGAAAAGCTCTTTGATTTCACTCTACACGTATCTCCTTTGAACAGTTTTTTTTAATAATAATTCGTTAAGAAACATACAGCAGCATCCTAAAGACATGGAAGGTTGAAAATATATTCTACTCAGATAAAAAATAGACCTCTTTGATCAAATGATTGTGCCTACGTGCTTTCAGCTAAGCTCCAAACTGTCATGAACCAAATAGTATATGCTAGGGTGAAATAAAAGCTAATAGCTACGATGATACTCACCATGGATGATTTTAACGATACAATTCAACTATTTTAGTAATATTTAATTTCTCTAAACTAAAGTTTATTTGATCCGCACCATATGTGAAATCCGATTTTTATAATACCTAGCTAATTCAAATACCTCGGCTTTTCAAAATCTATCAAGTCAAATTGTAAGACTAACAATTTTGTAAGCTACTCCCTCCATTCCAAATTATAAGTCATTACAAGAATCATGGAGAGTCAAAACATTTCAAGTTTGACAAAAATTATAGAGAGAATTACAAAGATTTATAACATCAAATAGGTATATTATAAAAATATAATTAATGAAGAATCTAATGATACTTAATTGGCACCATAAATGTTATTATCTTATCATATAAATTTGGTCAAACTTGAGATGGTTTGACTCTCCAAGATTCTTGGAATGATTTATAATTTGGGATGGAGGAAGTACTTCCCTATTGCTCTACCGGTACAAAGACCTAAAAAGACAAAAAAAAAATGCTCATCCATATCACCACGTGTATGAGAAATTACAAAGCTTGCCCTATACCAAACATGCCACATCCAACTAAGGCCCTGTTTGATAGGGCTCTATTTTGTCTCTAGCTCCTTCGGAGGAGTCATACCAAACGATTTAGTAGAAGAGGCCGCTAGAAACTGTTTTTCAATGAAAAGTCATTTGGAACTGTTTTTCAATGACAAAAAGGAGTCAGAACCGTTTTGATCGTGGCTTCTTCAAAACGTCTTCGACTCCCCTCAATAGGAGCTGTCCTAAACACAACCTAAGAGGTAATCAGTTGACATCCAAAAGTAGCAAAATAAAGCCCCTCCAATACATGCATTATCTATGGATCCAATTATCCAAATAGACCCTGCTTTTACAAATACAACTTCCAATTCGAGTTGAATTCAACCGGCCTAAGCATGAGGAAAAATCTTATATAGCAAGAAAAAAAGAAACAAAATCAATAGAAATATATCTAGAAAATCCCTAGGTCCATCTATTATTAAGTTGAGCTTTATGCATGCTGAGCAGGATAGAAATGAGCAGAGTAGTCCTTGCTCTGGTTGGCCAATCCCGACACATTATCCTCTCCTCATCCACGCCGAGAGAGTAACCAGCTCGACCAGATCAGAATCCAGACCTCTGCAGAGCCCATTCCCTTGTGCATCTCGGCCTCCCCTCTCTCCCTTCCTCCCCGCCCATTCCTCTGACCCTCTTCTCCAGCAGGCCGGAGATGGTCTCGCTGCGATGCACCACCGCGCACCACTCCCTGCTCGGCTCGCCGACGTGCCTCGCCCGCCCGCGGCGGCGGGCGTGCCCCGTCGTGCGCGCTGCCGTCGCCGTGGAGGCCGGCGCGCAGGCCAAGGTCTCCCTCATCCGGATTGGGACGCGTGGAAGGTGATCGAATTCGATCTTTTCTGCTGTTTCTTTGGTTGGGAGGGTGAAGAATTTGGGCTTATGTTGGTCAAAATCGTGGCTTTAGGTTCTATTTAGTTGCATTTGGGGACGGCAACGCGTTGTGAGTGCCTGAGAGATCCTTTGTTTAGCTCTTCCCCCGGGAATGTGAATTTTGAGATGTGGCTCTGAACCTATTGCGTCTTTATTACGTGTTGAACATTTGTGGTTAATTTGTTGAAGTTCAAAGGAGTATTGAGAATCTTTAGCAGGAAGGATGCGCTTCCTTGCTTCGTAGGATGCAATTCCGGATCAGTAGTACCTGGGCGTTGACCTTGATAGAGCTAAAGAATGGCTCTTAATAGTCAGCAAATTTGTACATTTTAGATGTCACCTCTACTATTTTGGGTCAACGCCATAGATGCCGTATTGTTCTTGTGCTATTCTCATGATAGCTAGTGGTTTCATGTCAGTGTTTACAAGGATGTTGTCTTTACCAGTCTTTGCCTTGACTTAGTCTTAGCGACTTTACTACTTTTCTTGGATCTTGTGGAAATTCTATGCCTTTTCCACATTTTCCTTTTGTTGAGAGAAAGTTACTCAGGAATCCGTTTAAAAAAAAGGGAAAAAGTTACTCAAGAAAAGGCACTGTTTACTGCCAAAGCAAAATTTTCCTTCCACGTTTCAGTTCAAAGTGTTGTTTGTTTCTTTTTTCATGTGGAATATGCAAGTTTGTAATTCTTGTCATTGGTTATTTAGGACAGTCCTCTTGCTCTTGCACAAGCCCACGAAACTCGAGAAAAACTGAAAGCCGCACACTCTGAGTTAGCTGAGGAGGGGGCTATTGAGATCGTCATCATAAAGACCACAGGAGACATGATCTTGGACAAACCCCTTGCAGATATTGGAGGCAAGGGTTTATTCACCAAGGAGATAGACGACGCGCTCTTGCAAGGAAGGATTGATATCGCTGTTCACTCTATGAAAGATGTTCCAACCTATCTACCTGAAGGCACAATATTGCCCTGTAACCTACCACGAGAAGATGTCAGAGATGCATTCATATGCTTGACTGCAAATTCACTTGCAGAGCTTCCTGCTGGCAGTGTTGTTGGAAGTGCTTCCCTGCGGAGACAATCTCAGATTCTCTACAGATATCCATTACTGAAAGTAAGTATGATGGTTTTGCTCATCACACTTTCCCTCCCCACCCCCTATACTTGTGATTTTAGTGCTAGCCGATTCACTAATGTGTTCATAGATACTTCCCAGTATTGCGAGTCTGGTGGGTTTTTTTTCCCATTGCATATAAAGAGAGTGAGCTTTCTGAGCTCATTCACTGAAGTCTAGAACATAGATCTTTCTATCAGCTGCAGTTCCTAACTCTTTTATAAAATGTAAAAAAACTCTTAAATATGTATATTTCTATTTATATGATTGTAAAGCTGTTGTTTTTAATGCCATACATGTGAAAAGATGCCTATCCTGGAGGCACCATTGCAATTTTCTTTTATTTTTGGTTCTGAAGAGAATTCTGTCCGGTTGATGTTGTAGACTCTCGCCCCAGTCTTGTAGTTAGTTATTTAGAAGCCTGTATTCTTTAATTTATTTAGAAGTGTGTTTTGATTAGGAATTGACCTTGATTAGTCTCGTGCTTAACAGTATTGAATGGTTTTCAGGTAGTTAACTTCAGAGGAAATGTTCAGACACGGTTAAGGAAACTCAAGGAAGGAGATGTCTCTGCTACGTTGTTGGCACTGGCTGGATTGAGGCGGCTAAATATGGCAGAAAATGCAACAGCTGTACTATCAGTGGAAGAAATGCTTCCAGCAGTTGCCCAAGGTGCTATTGGAATAGCTTGCCGAAGCAACGATGACAAAATGGTAAGGGGTCCAGTGTTGTAGTATGCTGGTAGATGGAGAAAACATGAAGCTTGCATGATTCGATATACAAAAATCTGACACTAGCTTTGCTATCTTTTCTCTATCGAACTTTGCACGCTACTTTGATTACGTGATAAGCAAGGGTGGATCTAGAATTATGAATCATTGATGTCACTAGCATAGCTATGATAAACATGCTGTGTCATTGTCTCTTGTCCCCAACTGCCCATAGTAATTTTTCATTGAGTTTACACAATTTATTGCTGTCAGGTGACAGCGTTACTAATACTGTGGATCTGCCCCCTGGTGATAAGGTCAAGTGACCATTTTATGGTCCTGAATAACAACCATTTCAGATGATGCTGTTTAGGCAGTATATATAATTGTTTTAAGATTTGATTTCTTGGTCATCCCACTCTTTGCATTTTTGTTTATCAAGTCTCTTTTATTTATTGCTTCTTTATCCTGGCCATGTTGCATGTTGTGGCTTTTCCGAAAGCATTTAATCTTTAAAACTACCGTTTCAAAAAATAATCTTTAAAACTAGTATGCCTCACAGTAGGTCTTTATGTTTCTAATTTGAGTGCACACTGTTGTTATATTCTGCAATGTACATGAATGTACTATGCAGCTATGCAGGGCAT